GCTGAATGAAGATATGCACATTCAAATAACAGACTTCGGAACAGCAAAGGTATTATCTGCAGATAGCAGACAAGGTACGCACTGAGCGACGCGGATAGCTCTAGCAAGTGGTCCTTTGAAAATGTACGTGTGTTGTTTACCAAACTGTTACCTCTTACGGCACGAAATCACCGGGCTATCTCAAAATAGGTTTGCCTGCCACGGCTTGGCCTGTGTCAGGGAGGTCATCCTTGGTGTCGTGGTGTAGCCAGCTGGATCCCCAAATGTAGAGGGAAGGGAAGTTAAAGTACTTCAGATTACTTTACATCTGCCAGATGAGAATATGAACAAACAGTACGGTGGCTCGGCTGAATCGACACGTTTTTAATCTGCTTATGTGTTTAAACCCAGTGGCTGTCGGGGCTGCTCAGACGCAGAGGTTGGCACTTGCCTTGTGTCAGTAGTCACTTAGCGTTAACCTGTGAATCGGGGCGGCTGCAGACTGTGCCTGGAAAAGCACCAGGCTGACCCAATTCTTCACTTGCATGTAGTAAGGTTGTGTTGCTGGAATTTCTGCCCAAAGGCCTGGCAGCTGGAAACTGCCAGATCTCGCTGGGTGAACTGATTGTTTCTTCCAAGCAGGAGTTATGGAGGGGTAGGGAAGTGGAATTCCTGGGGGCTCTTCGTAGCGTTACACGACTCGCAAGAGATGGTCTCTGGGGTTTATAGTGGGTTTGTAGAGGGGAATGAGGAGGTTGGCTTCTCCATTGGTATGTTTTTACTTATTTCTTCCCACTCTCTCACCAGCTCGGGCAAACTCGTTTGTCGGGACAGCACAGTATGTTTCTCCAGAACTGCTGACGGAGAAATCTGCCTGTAAAAGGTGAGGACACTTGTATTTCAGAACCTCAGTGGAAGAGGGGGAGGGCACCAGTCAAGCAAATAAGCTTAGTGTTGCCAGGGAACAAGGTGCTTAAGTATAGAGGGTTTTTTAAGCATTCAAAATACTTTCTTAACAGTATTGCTTCTTGTCTGCCTGCTGGTTCCCTCAGCTCATCTGCCTTGGTGTTCTGCAGCCAGCATTAGTGTTACCAGGAGAAGGGGCTTTGCAATGTGGTTATCTCCTTTGAGAGGTTACACAGTGCCTCGTGGGCACAGAAAACTTCATTTGGGTGGTTGCAAGTTGTTAGTAATTCAGTCTTCCATGAGGATTTCTGTACTTTAGTCAAATCTGTGTATAGTTTCCATCAAGGTCAAATAAGCTAAAAACGCTCTTTCAGGTTAACACACTAAAACTTAAGACTTTCCTTCGCCCATGTACCTGATGACCTGCCTTTAGTTTGCATCGGGAAAAGCTTTAAGTGACAATCTGCGTAAAGTATTTAGAGGAAAATTTTAATTCTGAAGGAGCACGTACTGCGTCATGTTGGGTGCATCCATGGGTTGTGGTAGGGAATAAGTGTTCTTTTCAGTCTCACCACTTGCCTGTCGGTTGCTCTAAGAATTCAGCGTTCTGGCGCATGTGCTTGTAGCCAGCTGTAGTGGAATGGTCACTATACGCTTTTTCCCCCGGCGGTTGAGTTGCTAGCCTACTCTTCTGTCAAGGAACGAAGGGAAAACTGTGTGGAAATGTACTAGGCAGGAGTGTCAGTCGGGGTGTGTGCGACATGCCGGCTAGCAGGAGCTTAAGAACGCATTGTAAATTACGGTCTGAAGACTTCTTGTGGGAATACTACATCTTTTTCCCTTCTTTTGAAGCTCTGACCTCTGGGCTCTGGGATGTATAATATATCAGCTCGTAGCCGGATTGCCTCCGTTTAGAGCCGGGTAAGAGATTTAAGCTGATTCTTTGTGAGTTGTGAATAGAATGATTTGGTTTTTTTCCTTGAGCTTACTACCAGTTCTGGAGTACAGCGTTTCATGGTGCACTGTTGGTGTTAGTGGCATGCCTGCTGTTACTGGTCTTTTCTGATGTCGTAAAGATGCTCAGACAGCTTAAACTAGAGTTTGAGGGAGCTTCCCTTAGGATTTCACATGTAACTTGTACCATAAAGGTAACTGTGCCTACCTGGAGAGGGTACGAGGCACCTCTGTATTGAGCCATTTGAACGCTTCTTGCCATTAGTCAGGTGCTGACAGGATCCTAGATCCTTGGAAGCCTGTGCCCCGTTCCCCTAGAAAGATTTATGGGAACGTGACTTGTAGACCTCCCCCTCAATATTTGTCCAGGTTATGCTCTGCTAAGTTGAAAGAACCATGGAGAACTAGTAACAAGAGCTAATGTTTTTTCTTTTGCAGAAATGAGTATCTTATATTCCAGAAGATAATAAAGTTGGAATATGACTTTCCAGAAAAATTTTTTCCCAAGGCAAAAGACCTTGTTGAAAAGCTATTGGTAAGTAGTTGCTGCTGCTAAAGGATTGGGTGACATTGGGAACGTTCAGCTCATGTAGCTCTTCTCCTGAAGTGTCTGTGCACGCTGTTGCGAACCTCACAGCAAGAACAGCCATGGGCATTACTATCGGTGTAGGGGAGTGTCTTGAAAACCAACATCCATTATTAAACAGCACTTGGATTATTAAGTCTTAAAATCTCGGTTCTAAAGCCCAGGCAAGGGCTGTGTCTCAGTGCAATGGAAGCAAATGGTGCGCGTTGCACACAGAAGTTAAGATACAAATACTTGGGTTTACATGGAACTCAGATTAATCTTGTTGGGTTGTACAATGAATTCTTTAGTTGAAAAGAGTGTTCTCTATGTCACGGGGAGGTATATTAATTACCATGTAAATCAACTTACCTCGCGTTTTAGCATGCATTTACCTTGCACTTAGTGCATGTCTCAGTATCAGCTGAAGAATTACTGTGCGTGTGAATGTTTGAAATAGTCCTGTCTCATCAGTGGGATACCACCCTGACACTAAACTGAATATGCAGGGAACATCCTGGGTGGTATAAGGTTTTGGAAGTTCAATATCCTAGCATGTTCACATGGGGTGAGGGGGAAACTCTGTCTCCTCAGTTTGTGGCTGCTGAGTGCAACCACTGCAGAGGGCCTGGCAGCACGTTCCTGTGGCCAGGCCAGCTCAGTGGCCAAGCTAGCACCTGCTGAGTGGTAAGGTCCAGGTTGCATCAGTATCCTGAGAACTGTGTGGTTTTAGGGTGCTTGAGAGGTTGATACTTGACACCAACTGTGCCTTCGACAGCTTCTTGCATCGCTAGAATGTGATGCTGGGCTATCCTTCCATGAGCTGTGCTCCGTCAGACCTTCTCTGGGTGATTGCTGGGTTCTGTTTCTGTCTTTATGAAGAAACAAAGCCAAGAAACTGTTGGACCCAAAGAAATGCTCCTGTCTCTGCTTCCGTGCGCTGGTCTAATACAAAACGTTGCTGACCAGACACACTGACAAGTAACATCTTGAATTCTGCGTGCTCTCCCTATATACCAGATGTGTATGCTTGGGGCACTGAAAGCAACTGGGTTTAGGTTTCTGTGTGTTGCTGTGTGAATGTGAGCGGTGCTCGCCCCTGCCTCGTCATTCTATGCATGTTAACTTACTTGTTACTTACTCAGGTTCTAGATGCTACCAACAGATTAGGCTGTGAAGAAATGGGAGGATATGGACCTCTTAAGGCTCACCCCTTCTTCGAATCCATTGTGTGGGAGAACCTACATCTTCAGACACCTCCAAAACTTACAGCGTATTTACCTGCTATGTCAGAGGATGATGAAGACTGTTATGGAAATGTATGTTTGTCTTGCTGTGTTCAGCTCTGATGCTGCCTGGGACTTTGATTACAGCATAACTACTGCATAGGGAATGTTCTTACTGAAGCTAGTGATTATGTTTTAATGAAGACTCAATTATTAAGAATCTAATATGAAATTGCTGGTTAAAGTTTGAACTAGTCAGCATTTTTCTGTAGTGTTTAGCAAAAATGCTGGTTGGTTTGCTTTTACCAAGCATACTTTTTTGGCTAAGTGCCTGTTTATCTATAGAGAGTCAGCTGTCTTTTTGCTCAAAAGCATCATAAAAAAAAGCATGCTTAAATTTAAAGCCACAGTTTAGTACAAAATAAGCTCTTTCTAATCAAAGAAATTTCTTTGCTTCATTTTTTTTCTCCCTTCAGTATGATAATCTCTTGAGTCAGTTTGGCTGCATGCAAGTTTCTGGTTCTGCCTCTTCCCATTCACTGTCTGCCCCAGAGACAAGTACAGCCCAGACGTCAGGAGGAAATATTGAACAGTACATTCATGACCTTGACAACAATTCCTTTGAGCTGGATTTACAGTTTTCTGAAGACGAAAAGAGGTTACTTCTGGCAAAACAAGCCGGTGGAAATCCTTGGTAAGCTCTTGGAATACAGCTCATCTGTTGCTGCACAGCAGTAAGGAATCCAGAGAAATAACTTCTTCTGATTCAAAGTGATATTTGTCAGTCTTTAGCTTTAAGCAGACAATTGGCAACTGTATTTTTCTTGACTTCTGTTTTTAAACTAATAGCAGTGAAAACCTAATGCTGTGCTTTTAAGGTTTACAAGGTGTAGAAGATGCTGTGGAGTATGCTTAGCAGGTAGACAGAAGTGGTGCTACACCAGGGCTGAGAAGCTTTCCCTCTACAGACTCCTAGAACTAGGCAAGGTCCTTCTTTCCTAAGGTTTGCCATAGTTGGTTTTTATTGAATGATAATATCCTGTTGATATCTAACCAAAATACCTCTAGACTCTGTATGTGTTAGCTCTTCACTCCTGAGAGCAGTTTCTCATGTGTTATTTCCACACACACTCCCCTCCCTGTCGCATTTAAGAAAAACTCTTCGGTGTGGAGTGAGGAAAAGTCCAAACCTCATCCAGTCGAGTTGCTCAGAACTTTGGTGCAAAAGGAGGCATTAGGGAGAGACATGGAAAACTGCTTGATAATAATAGTCTGTTTCTGTGGAAGAATGATTTCTGGAGTGATTATTTTTTTTCTTTTTTTAGGCATCAGTTTGTAGAAAATAACTTAATCCTAAAAATGGGTCCAGTGGACAAAAGAAAGGTAAGGGCTTTTCTTAATTCCCTAGAATAAGATGCGGCTGTCAGATTTCTGTACCGTTGCAGCACAGTTAGGCATGCTGGCTTAGAGCTTTCTTGTTGAACTTAGAATTATAGAATATTTTAGGTTGGAAAAGACCTTTATGAATATCAAGACTAACCCTTAACCTGACGCTGATAAAGCCACCACTAAACCAAGTCTCTTAAGCAGTTCATCCCCACGGCTCATAAACCCTTCCCGGGATGGTGACTCCCCCTGTCCCTGGGCAGCCTGTTCCAATCCTGACAGCCCTTTCCAGGAAGGAATTTCCCTGATACCCCATCTAAACCTCGCCTGGCACAACTTGAGGCCGTTTCCTCCTGTCCCATCACTTGTCCCTTGGGCGAAGGGACCGACCCCCTCTCTACCCGCCTTTTAGGGAGCTGTAGGGAGCGATAAGGTCTCCCCTGAGCCTCCTCTTCTCCAGGCTGAACCCCCCCAGCTCCCTCAGCCACTCCCCATG